GAGCAGGGAGCCCGATGCGGGGCTCGATCCCAGGACCCTGGGATCATGACCTGAGCCAAAGGCAGACGTTTAACCAACTGAGCCACCCAGGTGCCCCTTGAATGGTTCTTGAAAGTAGTTTTGCTTTGTATGCAAATCTATATTGACAGCTATTTTCTATAAATGCTATGAAATACTTTTCATGGGCGCCTGGGTGGCTCAGTTGGTTAAGCGACTGCCTTCGGCTCAGGTCGTGATCCTGGAGTCCCAGGATCGAGTCCCACATCGGGCTCCCCACTCAGTTGGGAGTCTGCTTCTCCCTCTGACCCTCTTCCCCTCTCATGCTCTCTCTCACTCTCTCTCTCTCAAATAAATAAAATCTTTAAAAAAAAAATACTTTTCATAACTGCCATCTGGCTTCCACAGTTGCTATTGAGAAGTGTGTTATCAATCTAATAGTCTTGTGTATGTGATCTGTCTTTTCTCTTTGGCACTGTTTTTTGTTTATTTTTTATTGTGGTAAAATAAAACTTGCCATTTTAACCATTTTTTTAAATGTACAACTCAGTGGCATTAATTATATTCACAATGTTGTACAACCACCACCACTATTTCCAAAATTTTTCATTCTCTTAAAAAGAAACTCTGTACCCATTAGATAATAACTCCCCACTACCACCTCCCCCAGCTCCTGACAACTTTTCATCTACTTTCTGTCTCTATGTATTCACATACAACATTCACACTGTTATACAATCAATCTCCACGATTCTCTTCACCTTGTAAAACTCAAACTCTATACCCATTAAACATCATCTCCCCTTTTCCCTTAACAACCACCACTGTACTTTCTGTCTATAAATTTGATTGCTGTAGTTCATCTAAGTGGAATCATACAACACTTGTCCTTTTGTGACTAGCTTATTTCACTTAGCATAATGTGTTCAGGGTTCATCCATGTTGTAGCATATGCCAGAATTCTTTCCTTTTTAAGGTTAAATGATATTCCATTTTATGTATATACCACATTTTGCATATCCATTCCTCTGAAAATTGGTACTTGGTTTGCTTCTACCTTTTGGGTATTGTGAATAATGCTGTTTTGAACACTGGTTTACAAATACTTGTTTGAGTCTCTGCTTTCATTTCTGGGGAGTATATACCCAGAAGCAGAACTGCTAGATCATACAGAAATTCTATGTTTTTGAGGAACCATCAAACTGTTTTCCATAGCTGTCGCACCACTTTACATTCCTACCAGAAACAGAAGTTTCCCCCATCCTAATACTTGTTATTTTCTGGTTTGGTTTGGTTTTATAATTTCATTACAATAACTAGGTGTGAATTTCTTTTTTAATTATCCTGCTTAGTATATGTTGTGGTTGCTCTAACTGCAGATTCATGTTTTTCATCACTTCCAGAGTGTTCTCAGCTATTACCTCCTCAGAACTCAATCTCTCCTCCTGGAAGCTAATTTGATGTTAATTAGGCCTTTCATTCCGATCTTTTTTCCACCTCCTTCTCTCTAATTGCTACATTCTAATTTCTTCAGAACTAATTTCTAGCTTAATCTTTTTTCTCTCTACAATTCCTGTTGGTTCTTTTTTAAAAATCTG